CCACACACCACCACGACCGAGCGTCGCCCACAACACCCTTCTCTTCTATCTAGACGGAATTCCGCGATTCGCTTGGAAAGAAGACAACCAGAGTGTTATGCATCTGGTACGAGAACGAACTACATACATCCTAGACTGCTGCAAAAGCTGCAATGTCTGCATCCTTCACACCAAATGGAACCCTGAGGCCAAGTGAAGGTGAAAGAGCATGGAAAGGAGCAAGCCCCCAGATTAAAAGACATTTAGTACCAAAAGCTACCATGAGCGAAGCCTCGGGTCTCACGAGCCTCCCCTCGCAACGGATGAAATCAGTGTTAATGTGCTGAGAATGTCACATCTGGCTATGAGACGGTCTCTCTCACGCCTGGAACTATCGCAGGTCACCTCGACTGGTCCCGTCTTAACCGCTTTTCGAGACAATCCTATTGTTTCGTTAAGTGAACGCACTCAAAATGGATCGTTTTTGCGTCTTCACTACGACTCACAATAGGAAATACCAGCCTTCACCACCCGATTGGGACAAGATGGCAGAAATTTGTGCAGCTCACCTCGAGACAATAGCAGCTTAATGAGAAGAAGTCGCAGCCGTCGACAGCAGTCCTCATACTTAAACTGCCCTCCCCCTTGGCAGACTCTATCGCCAGACCACTCAGCTTCTTCTATCTTCTCATCACGACTTTCTCAGTTTACAGCACTTTACCATACATTCTTCAGCACTCAGCTTCTTACCTCCATCTTCTACTCTTTACGATACCCATTACTCTTTACGATACCCTTCTATCGCAATGTCTTCCTCTACTCTCCCCTCGGTCGAGCTGGTCTCACCTGGCATGCTTGAAGCAGCCACGATTCTCGCTGGACTTCGTCACGCTCGTCCCAAAGATTCCTTCACGACCCCGACAAGGTCACCTTCCGTCATCCTCCCTTCGGTTGAGCAGGCCTCATCGATCGATGTACACATGGGAGCCGCTCGTGCTGGACATACCTTCGTCCCTCGCTCCACTGGCGCTCCTTCCCCGTCTGCTTCTTACAGCTCTGGTAGCCCTCGTCTCAAGCTCAAGCTCAGGCGCACCAAGGACACCACCAAGAATACCACCGCGGTCGACTCGACTCCCATCCCCGTGAGCCACGCCGCCGGCCTCCCGAACGCAGGATCTGGTCGCTCAGGTCTCAAGCTCAAACTGCGTTGCATCCAATCCGCCCTTCATCCTTCTTCACCCACCCCCATTGCTGGCGCTGGCCATAAGCGCAAGATCGATCAACTCGTCACTCACTCTGAGGACGACAACGACTCCGAGGCCGACATCATGCCGCCCAAGCGTCGCATGAAGCAGACCGCCCAACCTCCCCTGCCAATCTCCGCGCCCACCATGAAGCGCAACAAGCGCATCCTGGACCCGAAGAGGGCTGATCACGCAGCACTCATCGCCACCGCCGCCAAGGCTGGCAACGAGTACTACGACTCGGACGTGGGCGACGTCGCTGGCGACGTCAAAGACACCACCAAGCCAGAACTGTTCCGCAACGTCACCTGGGGCGCATACGCCACCGACTACGCCGACGACGACAACTTCAAGACCAATCCTGAGTTCACTCAGTTCGTCCCCGGCCGGTTCGAGCTTCTCGCCGACGGCACCGTGTTCGACCAGAAGCACAAGCTGGTCGTCAAGCTCCTCGACAAGAACGGCAAGAAGCGCATCTTCGCCAACCCGCCCCCGCGCAACTGGGCTTCGCAGGAGGCCATCACGGCGCTGAACAAGCGCACCGTTCAGCAGATCCGGCGCAACACCAGCGTCCGGTTCCGTGAGGTCGTGCAGGCCTACGTGGCGGAGGAGCGCAAGTGGATCCTTGCCAACCTCACCGCCGGCAAGCCCACCAAGGGGTGGAAGGCCTTCGTTGAGGCGTTCAACCAGACCTTCGGCGGCAAGGTTCTCGCGGGTACGGCTGGCGCTCGGCCCTTGAGGAGTCACTCAAGTCTCACCAAGGAGGTGGAGAGATTTGGAGCTGACTTCTACATGAAGGGTCGGGTGCCGGTGACGGCCAAAAAGGTGGTCAAGAAGGAGTGAGTGGCTGTTGCAGCGGCGGCGGTGATGGTGGTGTTCGGTTTGCGGGTGGTGGTGGTGAGCTGGGCGCTGGTCGTCCGTAAGTCTCACCTTGACGATCATTAGCTAGTTGTGAGCTGGGGCTGGTCCCTTGTAAGTCTCAACAATTCATGTATACACTCTCTGAACCCTCGTATGATGCCTTTGTGATGACCAATATTGACTGAAAGACTGGAATGTGAGCCTCCGGGCCATGCATGCTATATATACTTGGTGAACTGTAACGTGTATATCGTCTTCCCGCTGCTATGACCTGTGCCGTTCTAACCCTTCGCACATATATGTTACCTCTAGCCTTCACCCTTCGCACCCTGAGGCTGAGTCAAAACTCCATTGCATCCGTCGCCATGGCATTCACCCCCATTGATGCAAGCACCGCCGCAACATCGTCGACTGCCTTCGTGATCTTATGATGCTCCTGCTGCACCATCTCCACACACCGCATAACCTGAGATCGCGCGGTATGCGCATCAGCTGGTCGCGCTCCTTCCGTACCCGCGAAATGATCCACGACATCAAATAACTGGTGGCCATAGCTATCGTCTGCGCTCGCGGAATAGCGTGAAGAGTTCGCGCCATTCTTCTCGTCCTCGAACATCGGAAGGTTGTATTTTTCTATCACGGTCTTCGTCATGATTGCGATCTCGTTGTGGAGGAAGATCGCATCTGAGTTGGAGTTGAGCATGCGAAACAGTCCTGGTGAAGAGCCGGACCCGCTGATGTTGCATCGAAAGACTCGTGTGATAATGTTCCCGTAGAGCAGGAAGTCATTGAGACCAATGATATCCTTGAGTCTTTGGAGGATACTGTTGGTGTAACAGGACGTGTGTGTGTTCATTGTCTCGACCATTGTTCCAGTTAGAGTCGATCTTGTGTGTTATCGGAGCGGTTGGCGGTGAGTTGGAATGTATTGTTGAAAGCTTCCGGTGGCGGGTGAAGCGGTAGAAAGCTGGGGTGTTTATAAGGGGCCTACAGGCCTTGACTTTGAGAGTGAAATGGGCCGAGTGGAATGAGAGTTAGAGTATAGATCGTTCTCAATATATATATGCGGTGAAGAGGGGGCTGATTCACATAACGAAGGTAGGGCCACAATGGTCCAAGTGGTGAATCGAAAGAGCGTCTCAATTGTCGCCACTCCCGCGGAGCGACTGCGGCGGCCACAAAGCAGAGTATCGCAAGCTTCATTTTCTTGCAAGGCGGGAAGTGTGTCGGGTAGGATTTTTGGGCTTGACTGGAGGCAGTGGAGGTGTCCATGGTTCTGTTTGGGTGTCTTGGTCTCGGGTTGGGTGTGTTGATCAGAAGCAGCACCTGACTGATCAGCTTGGTAGCAAGAGATGTAAATGCAATATATATATATGTATAAATATAAAAGGAATTTGAGAAGCAAGGGAGAAGGTAATTCCGTCACTCTAATAAATACTTGCACTTACCTTGTGGTCAGTGGACTATTGCTTGTTTGGCCTCATTATCTGACCTCAGTTCATTGTCCTATACGAGCGAAACATCAAAGTTAGTTTCAATGATTGCGCAGGCAGTTATGCCAAAGCTTGTCGTACAACGAGACTACGCTGCCAAGTGAGTGTAGGATGGAGTGGCCTCTACTGCAAGCTGAGCCAAACTGCGCGCAAGACCCTTCAGCCATGATACCTGCTGAAAAGGCGCTACAGTTGTGACAAACACAGATTCCGGCGTGGCGGGTAGGTCAAAGGGCGATTGCAAAGACAACACAGCTAAGAGAGCAGCAAGATCGAGGACACCAATCTGACCAATGGCAGGCGTGTCTTGCACGGTACTGCCAAAGCGGAGACGAGAAGCCTCAAAATCTCTTCGAGCCTGCTCGCGCTGCTGAACAGCCACACCCTGCTCTTCCAGTATTTTCCTGGTCTGCGCAACTTTCGCCAGCTCAGCTGCCCTCTGCGCATCGTCTAAGCGCCTGTAGATGAAGTCGACTACCACACATCGCGCGACGAAGACATCCTCTCTTGTCATCAGCGAGAATCTCTGCGTACAATACTCGTGGAACCTTTGTATCAAGGGATGCGAGAAATTCGTTCCCGCGAGCACCGATGGCAGGTTCGGTTCGTCCTCGTCGTACATCTCTAAGAGCAGGGCTTCGTGCCACATCTGGATGTGTGGACGAGCACGCAGAAAGGAGATGAGGTGGGCTTTGGCGATGTGCGCAGAGCCAGACTTGCATAGTATGTGCGAGATAAAAGTCAGGTAGTAGAACCACTCCACTGCCGAAGTGTACGACTGAATCGTGGAAAGGATTACTGGGATGGTGTACCAGCTTGGGCGCAAGAGCTTTGGCTGCTGGGTGGATTCCATTTCGGTGAAACCGCGCAACGTCGAGCTGATCGTTTGGACACGCTTTGCTTAATCTTCATTCGGTTGTAATAGCTGAGAGAAGCTCGTGGAATCGCGCATACTCATGGAATGACTTCGATTGACGGCGTTGTGAAGGGCGATGTCGAGAAACAGTGTTTGTTTGCTGGTGATCGATAGCGCAAGGGATGGACAAGTCCACCAATGGACGAGACTGCATCCGGAGGTGGTATGAGTATGGAGCGCGAAGCGGTCATGATGCTTGGGACACCAGGTAACGATATTGTTAGTTCCAGAACGGATCATCATGTGCTTTGCGATCCAAAAGGGTGTACAGGGTACTCAATGAAAGACACGAACCACCTTGCACGTGTCAGTGCAAGAGCAATCTCTCCACCACCCCACCATACATTGGAGCACTGCGGCTCTCATGAAGAACAAAGACCACTATCAATTCTTACCACTTATTTCTGCAGCCGTCTTTGCTCTCCACTGCCCATACAACAGTAACTATGTCCACTCGGGAGGTTTCGGTAGAAACGCCCTTCCCCGACATGAACATCAACAAGCAGCATGGCCCTGTGCACGTTCACAGTGCGACCGCTACAATCACCACGATCGCGAAGACCCCACCGTCCGAGGGCTTCACCACTAAAGTCATCAAGGTCGTGATGACATGCACCGGCAACCTTGACACCGACACCATCCTCATCGAGAACCCCGATATCCTTCGCATGTTTGTTGAGAAGGAGGGAAAGATAGTCATCAGTTTCTCGCATCTTCCCATGATGATACCGATCTGGAAGTTGGAACCTGCTGGCCCAATGCCTGACAACCAGGGTCAAGAGGACACCGATGAGGACTTCGAGATGATAAGGAACGCTTGGAAGACCTGTCTACTCGTATGGGGGCGCCACGCGGGGCTCGACGAATTGAACAGGCGAGCGGCTGTGACTATGCGTGCGATGCAGGAACAGGACGAGCTTGCTGCTCGAGCTGGTAATGGTAAACAATTGCGCTCTCTTCAAGTTGGTTGTTTGTGCTTTCGAAGTCAGTCTCCCCGCAATCGCGATCGCTGACCTTTGATAAGCTGAGCGTCCACGAGCAGTATTTGCACCATCACTATCGACGACGCCAACAACGACGCCGACAACGACTCCGCCACCATCGACGACTCCACAAGATAGCCCGCCGAGACATCCGTTCGTCCTCCCTGGCGTACCAGCTTCCAGGAATTCTCGTCGCGATCCAAGCCAGGCATTCCCGTCGGCCCCGACAACGATGACACGTCCTCTACGTATCGGTGGTCATACACTACTACAGCCAGAGGACGTCGAAGGACATTGGAGCGACGCAGAGGAAGAGATTGGGGGCCAGACTGCTGGCGACTCTTCATCAACCGGAGCGCACAAGCCCGGGTCTGAAGACCTTGCAGCCTTAGTCCGGCGTCGCCAGGCCGAAATTGAGGCTGCTCAGGCCATGAGGACGGGGCCGTCGAACCCTTTGGACGCACCTCGTTTGGAAGATGATGATAAAGGAGCTGGAGATCCTGAGCTCTTTGGTTTCTCGGGTATAGATGACGAAGGAGGTATGAAGGGTCAATTCGAGGACCAGTCGGAAGAAGAGCCTGAAGAGGACAGCGAAGACTTCGAAGATAGCAGCGAAGAAGCCGACGATGACAAAGAAGACGGAAACTTCGGGGAGTCTCTCCCTGTGAAGGGCAAGCGCTCGCAAGCTACCCCGAAGAAGGTCTCACGACCGTCTCAGAAGCAGCTTGGAAAGCGGCCTGCCAAGCCCACTCCAATAGAAGCCAATACCCAGCCCCCCAAGTCAAAGCTTCGAAAGACTGGGGTTCCGATCTGGCCGACGACTATCATCACCACTGGTACCGCCGGACCGAGTCTACGACAGGTTATGGAAGAGATGGGCCAGATCCTGACGACAGACGCTGAGCGTCAAGAGTATATGCATCTCGTGTGGACGCGTCGTCGAGCCGCCGAGGAAGACAAGGATGCTACCGCCGAACAAGCAGTGCTTCATGACCTAGAGACCTTTGTGCGTAATCACGGCATCGTAGACTTGCACAACCGATGGGCACGATGGATGGAGTCTGGCGTCAAGACTGCTATGCCCATGTATAAACCGGCAGGAACTGGTGTGATGGATGCGGATGAGCGGAAGACGATGTTCGAGAGGAAGAAAAGGGTGCGTCGGGGCTAGGAAGGCTTGGTGGGTTCGAGACGAAATGAGACGGTTCGGCGCGGGTTCATGGTGTTGAGACATGATAGGGAGTCGAGAAGGCTTTGCGTATGACACTGGTTGTTAGCTGGAGGGTAGAATGTCTTCGTTGAAGAGGACAAATTAAATTGTGATGAATCCTCGATGTACTGAGCAATGCGCGCCGATATGACGTCGTGTGATCGCATGTGTAGAACTTGGGCCTGTAAATATGCTTCACAGGTAACCACGTGCGACAAAGAGTATTGATGAAAGTGAGGTAAATGTTGGAAAGTTCCTCAAGATGGCAACCACAGTCTTCTTCAGATGTCGTGAAGTTTGGTGGTTCAGGGTCCGAGCACGCGTTTCGCGCACGCGACATCGGCGCTAGTTTCGGTGATGATGACGTCATCACTCTTCACAACACCACCGCAACCACAACCACGCATCTCCAGTTACCTTTGGGGATATACTTCCGAGCCCGCCCATCTGACAACTACATTAAGACCTCAGGATGCTCGCCATAAGCAGGTGTCATTGCCTCCTTCCCAGCGAAGCGTGGACTTCGAAGACGCCTGACAGCGACGAAGACCGCTCACAATGCTCACGACATCTTGCGATGCATGAGATGAATCCAATATTGTTACGGCCCGCATCGGCTGTGCAGAAAATTCTCCGCACGCAAATTCACTATTTCGATGTCGAGCCGCTATGACCAAAGGTTCTTGGAACTCATCGACATTGCTCGTCCTCTTACATGCCCCCAGTCTTCCAGTACGCACTCGTGTACTGATCATAATCTTTCTGCCTCCCGCCAACTCAACAAACTCCGAAATTAAGACTTTCAGGTTGAAAGTCACGGTGCGTGAAAGCTCGTCGCAAAGGAAACAAACGGTAGAGCACCCCGCCAATCACTTTCTCCTCGACTAGGAAGCCTCACACTCCTGCATCCGAATCGCTGTTACCGATAGGAAAGTCAATGAAATGGGAAGTGAGAGCAGCGTCCCGGCAGCTAGGTCTTGTGACAAAGAACCGAAGCAAGCAGCTAAGAAGCATGAGCCCGGCAAAACCGAAACAAATTTGCCTGGTACAAACTTCAGCGAACCCAAACCGAAGCGACACAAGACTACCAAGGCCAAGACAGTCATGAGATCTCCCACTGAGCGCATACCGCATTCCGTGAACAGTCGTGCGTCACAAGGTCAAGGCACTCAACAAACTGTCGATCACCTCCGGGATAAACACTTCCAGCCCCAAATGCGTGAGAAGGGAGGACGTAATGGAAGGAACGACAGTACGACCGAGACTCCAACAAGACGTTCGCATCGGAAGAAGGCTGGTGGACCGGAAGCTGGACCGACTACTCCTCTGGTAAAGAGTGTAAACAAATACGGCTTTGAGGTATGGGTCCCGGCTACCGGATCGAACAACCTTACGGCGAGTCAGAGTACTAAAGAGGAGACTGCAAAACCTCCTTCTCTTCAGGAAGACGACATCTCCGATGATGTTTCAGTCGAACCCGCCTCTGATACTGCTGTAGCTGACCCACGCAACGAGACTTCTGGAGACGCAATATCCCAAGAGCACACTGGCGACGATACAAGACAAAATTTCGTCATTGATGTCGTTAGGGGCGACGTGAACGAGAAGACGATGGCAATGGAGGACGTTGTCGACACCAACTTCATTCTAGAACGCCTGAAGACATATAATGCACAAACCCCTACCAACAAAGACAGAGGTGCGCAAGATGCTATTGACCGGGAAAGACAGCCGGTACCTGAGCAAGATGTTCAAATGATGGATGTCGACGACGCTCAAGTTAGTGTCACTACTTCTGGCCTTGGTCGTGACGACACCAATCCCCAAGTCAACCACCATGCTTCCCCAAGCTTAATACCGAAAAAGGAAGTTGGCGCTGCTGAGGTCGATAACCCATTGCGAGACGACCGCGACGTTGTAAGGACGACACCTGGCCCCTTGTACTGGCGTGCAGCCGACAAACGAACGGAAACTGGGGTCCACTTCTTCAACATGCCTTTCGAGGACCTGCGTGAGATGACGCGACTTCAAGCTCTCGAGCGAGCGCGTCCGCAGTCATCCGATGAGCTTCGTGCTCTGCTAGTCTCCGCAACTACCAGTAGCGAATCCAGTCCCGAAGAATACGCCCTCGCCGATGCCAGAGTCAAGCTACAAGCATGTCGCAATGCGTTGTATGGCGTTCGACTAAGGGAGCGCATGGCTACGATGCGCATGGCAGCCGCTCGCGCGACGCGACAGCCGCGTGATAGTGTTGCAAAGCTTGAGGTCATCACCGAAGAGGCACGGAAGGAGCTTCTTGCTGCTCAAGATGCATTTGATGAGGACTTTCGGAATGTTGCTGCCGCCAAACAAGCCCTCAAGAATGTCACAGGTAAGCCCGTGCCAGATCTTCAGGACCCAGAGACGGAAGCGGATGCTTTGAGAAGGGAGAAGATGGTTGATGAGATCAATGGGGCTATTGCAGAGTATGAAGCGCAGGTGAAAGCGTAGTACGGTATTATTGACGCACACTTGAGGCACGATGTTTGGCAGAAGAAGTTGGATGACAGGACCTGTGTAATAATGTGTAGTGGAAGCATGTGGCGGAGACGTGTAATGCATGGTATATAGGAAGAGATGAGAGATCATGATACAGTAGTTGACTAATGCAAAGGTGCTTCCTATATTTTCATCAAAGTGCTCGCGCGATAACGACATCGCTAGTTTAACTTCTATGGTGCTTCCTGAATGTACGTGGGTAAACAACCATTGATTCCATCCGTTGCAGAAGTTGGATTGATGATTGGTACTGCGTATAGTGCTTTCAGTGTTTTCTCTCATTTTGGAGGTTGCGAGTGAGAGCGCAAGCGAAAGTGAGACAAAACAAAACAACTCTGCGCGCAAACGCCCACCAGGCGACCATCAATAACATCACATCTCAACGAACTCTCTAGTAAAACTCGAAACATTAATATACCAAGACCAGTATGCGCAAAGAAGGCACCAAAATGCAAAGCGACACGCCAGACCCCCAGCAATTCTTCACACCCGCGCCTACCCCACCGCTCAACACCACCGCGCCTGAGACAAACGCGATGCAGACTCCCAAGACATACAGACGGAAGAGACCACCCACGACGTCGAGCAGTCTTACCATCTTTGAACCTCGGCTCTTCGCTGTTATGCCCGAAGCCGCAGCCCACGAGCTCATCAACACTATGCGCTTGGTTCTCACCAGAGGCGGCCAGAAGAAGCACTTGCTGGCATTGTGGACGCAGAGAATCAAGGATATTCTCCAGAGGCTAGGGAACGGCGAGGTGACTAGGGTGTATAATGAGTTTGCGACTGCGCATGATCACCGAGAAGAGAGGTTGTCGTACAAGCTGCCGTTGATCGAGGACTTGGTAGAGGAGAAAGAAGAGGCGGATAAGATTGATGAAGCGCACGACGATGTTGGACCCCATAGCGCGCCCGACAAGGTGATAGGAGAGAATGCTACTGCCGATGATGCACTGCAAAAGAAAGTCACATCCAAGGTCGCACAAGACTCAGATGTCCACATGGAAGACTTACCTCTAGCAAGAAACCTCCAACCTGTCACGATCGAACATGCCAGCCCAAAGACAGCACTTTCGCCTCCACCCTCATCGCCGATACCACCACCTGCTCCAATCACTTCTGCAGGTGTCGCATGCGAAAGGCATACCCCCGGTACCTGCACAGTTGTACGAATCCATGGTTTCGAAGCTTTTCCCATGACAAAGGTCCAAGAAATCCAAGCCGACTATTACCCAAACGCTATCATCGTTGCTATGTGCGTACATCGCGACAACAACAGCAACCAGGTCACCCAAGTAGCAGCAAGTATGGATAACGGGCCAGTCGAATTCCTCCTCATCAACGACCCACGGATCATCACGTTCCTCGGTTTCCGCCAGCCACAAAACGATCCCCTCTGCCTCCAACCCAATCCTCGCCTAAATGAGACATACCAGATCTTCATGCACCCAGGTCTAGCATCGCGGGATCCGAAGGCTTGGCGAGTTGGCGAGTTAGTATCGGCGCGCCATGCGTATCTATACTGGTTGGACAGCAGACAGACCGCAGACCCGAAAGCTCCACCTACTGTAGCAGAAGCCAGGATCCTGGCTCCCAAGATAGGTCGTCGAGCTAAGGACGTGTGGGAAGAGGTTGAGAAATGTTGGAATCTGGAGCAGGGTAGTAGTGGAAAGCGTTACCGAGAGAACAGGATGGAGTATCTCGGCGAGGACCCAAAGTATCCGGAGGGCGAAGAAAGGAGATCGGGGAGGAGTATGTGGGTGTAGATGGAGGAGCTGTGCTTGTATTTTTGATTCAGTCTGATTACGATGAAGGTTTCGGCGAACACTGCGTCTGCTTGACACTCCAGCCATGTCCTGAGTTGTGCGTAGTCGCAACGGCCACCTCAATACAGTGAGCGTGATGGTCGACTGTTTGTCGCGCCCGTAGTGTATGCGCATATCGAAAACACTCTCTTGTAGTAATAAATGTTTCGAACACTTCGATAATAATGAATCCACGAGTGTAAATTGGCAAATCTGAGTCCTGGTGTTAAGGCCCATTTAAATAGGTAGGACTGACTCTGCCACGGGGCATTGATAGTTGCATCGAACCCTAACATCACATTATATTGTCGGGTAATTCAGTTGAATTGCTCGAATGTCGATCTGGACATGCTGTCGATGCTCCCGTGCGTGGTGGTCGACACTGGGAGTCTGCGTCAGGGAGGGAATAGGGCGGTTTACCCTGAGTTTGTATGGAGACGACCACTTCAGACTAATCTGGCAAACCACCGTTACCAAATCTCGCTCTCCCAATATACAGGATCAGAATTTTCTCTCGCCAAAAGATCACTCAGGCTCGAGCGCGAAAGACAGAAGATGGGAGAGATGGGGTTCCGCTAGGTAGCTTGAGCTATGACGCACATTGATTACTAATCACGAATGGCTCCTGAACATCGAAGGGCATCTGGGCAAACTTCATTGCTACACATCCGCCAGCAAACGTCAACGATGACCTGATGTTACGATGTCGCGGAACCTGTCGTCCTTCTTGAAGTTACCTCGCGCTACGAATACAGTTTCTACCCGTCCTCTCCTTCCCTGGTAGGGAGATCATGCCTGCCTAGATAACGCGAAGACGACGCGTCCCTCCGCACCGGCGGACGAAAGCCGAAATGTCACCACTACCCCCTCCACCTACAAACTTCGTGTCGCCGCGAATTATACCTTTTGCTCCAACGAAGGAGCATGGACAGATACCGATGCCTACCTATCGATGGCTTGATGGCATCTGGTAGTGCTGTGGTTCAGAGATCTTCTGCACCAGCACCCACTTCATCATCCTCTGCAGGTGCGACAGCTTCAGTAGCAGCACTTGCTGTAGCTATATCGTCCGGAGCGGTAGGTCCCGGGGCCATCGTCGGTGGTATAACAGGCGCAGGCCGGCCGTTGGGAAAGGAACCTCGCTCGTACGATATGCGGAAAAGATCACCTTCGTCGTCGGATTCACCCTCGTCGCCCTCGTCGTACTCGTCGCCGCTGTCCGTTAGGTCTGGGTCCATGTTCCACTTGATCTTTTTATGCTGAGCCTCTTCTATAATCGGCACCGCAAGAGAACGCCATCCTTGGAGAGGCGCATTTATGTGCTTGAGATTTTCAGCGGGGGTGAGAGTAGTGGGCTCGTACGGCACTCTGATACCCACTCGGGGCCATATCGCTTTGCCTCGACCTCTCCGACCGTAGTGGTCATGTAGCCGGCCATGATACGTCTTACGACTTCCTTCGGGCACATCGAGTAAGACCGGTGCGTCGATTTCCATGCGATTAGTTGGCAAGGAGGTTGGCTCGTCATGGAGTGACCAACATTCATCTGTCGCGTGCGTCCACCATGCACGACACGTCGTGTTGCCATGCGTACACCTGCGTAGCTTGGGTTCGTTTGGAAGACCGTTCCCGTCAGGTATCGTGGACATGTCCACTACATCTGGGTCGATAGGTGAATGAGGAGGTGAGTTCACTGGAGAGTAGGGTCTTTTAATCATGCCGACATGTCTCTCTCGTCTACCATCTGTTGCCTCCGCCCACACCGTTGACAGTAGCCGGCCGTCCTCGACCCAACGAGTTTTCTTCGGCAGACAGAACTCCCGCTTGTTGTATGGATAGTCGATGCTAGCTGTGACCCTTCTCCGGCTTTCGTCCTCTGTGGGCCCCTTCGTACCGTTCCCAGGAGCAGGCTTGCTCGCGCCTTTCTTCTTTGAACCTTTCGCTGGCCCTGCATCATTGCCGGCGCCCTGACTCACTGTGACAGCTTGAGCACCACCTGTCTTGCTTCTCACCCGCTTCGCCTTTGGCATCGGTGAGCTGCTTAGCTGTTTCCCATTTCTCAGCTGCCGACCAGTATCATCAGGCTCCTCTGCGCTCATGTCTGTGGCCTGAGGGGCTTCGCCATCTCCATCAACGGGCAGATCATCGCCTTCGTCGTCTTCGAGATCCTCATTAGCACCGTCATTCGCTGGCCCAACACCCTCTTCATGTTCCCCATCGTTACCGCCTTCCATCTCATCACTGGGCGGGTCAAACGGCGCATCGAAATCCTCGTCTTCGTCAGGCGAATCATAGAACTGATCTTCATCGCGGACAGCACTGGTCTCGAAGTGCTCTGGAATACCACAGATCTTCACCAATCCCAAGCAGTCGTACGATGTAAGCCAATCATGGGATGATTCTCGTGCGGCAACGAAGACTCCTGACGCTGTCTGGATTCCGCGAAACCTGTCTTCGTCGACTTGGCCGCCCTCCGCGTTAGTCTCGACTAATACATTGGCCGTACTCGGTCTGGTGTCTGCGTAAACCCCAAGCTCGGCCGCACGTCTTTCCGTGTGCGTCCTGTACTCTAGGTCTGCATCGTCGTCGACGATATTCTCGAACTCTGCGCGACGAGCCTCTATAGCTTCTTCATTCACCCGAAATTGTATCGGGTCTCGTGCGGCTTGCTCCAGGGCTAGACGTTCTTCCTCTTCTCGAAGCCCTCCAGGTGCACGTCTCCACATCGGAGTAATAAGATGAAGGTCTTCAGGTTCCACCAGAATTGGCGGCGCGCCAGTCCCGTCGTCTACCTCTCCAGTTTCGATGTTCGCTTCACGGTACCTGGACAGTCCCGTTCCAACCTCTCTCCGGTCATAGTATTCCAGCATGTTACGAAGGTACTGGACCTTTCGAGGGTCGTCTCCATGCGAACTTATCAGCATTGGTGGCATGTTGAGTCTGCGTCCATCCTCTTTCTGCACAGCTGTTGGTCGGTCCGGATTAAACCTCAACCGTCTGTTTACCGTGTTCTGATAATATAGGAAGTCCTCAAGTTCTGATTGCAATCTAGTCAAGCGAGCTGCGGCGTTGTTCCTGGTCAGCTTTTTGAATACCTTGCCCTTATTCTTTAGAAACCCAGCGCGTTCGCCTGCGGACAATCCAAGATACTGCGGCAACAACTCTTCAATCTGCTTTCTCACCGTCTCCTGGTTTGTTCTTGCTCCCCCCAGATCGCTTTTGAGCTTGGCCATGTTGATGCCGTTGAACTTGATGTTATCAGACTTCTTTCCGTCTCTTTTTCCCTTTTCGTCCCCTCCATTCTCTTGACCCCCCTTTTTGGGAGGCATGATTTGGAAGCTGATGAAGCACTCTCTCACGGTCAGCGGTGTTTCCTCACTCTGTACACACTGGACCAGAGAATGTTTTGGCAGTGGCCGGCTGAGCGCAGAATGCGAAGACTTCAGGTGTTGCGAGCACAGCTGTTCTTTCCACTTTAACTGGTCTCGCGACAAAGAGTCCTGTAGGACAGCTTTTCATTGTCTCTATTACCGAAGCCGGCAGTGACTGGCCCCTTTGGCGGCCACTCTACTGCATGCGAAAACAAAGAACATCCGTATGCCTCGGTTCCCCCGAACTCCTCATTTCAAGACCGCATTCCCGATGAAGCATCTACATATGCTTAGTCCAGTCATACTCTTCCACCCTCTTCTCCGGTACGTACTCTTCGCCCCTGGCCTTGGCCTCCTCCTTGCGCTTCTCGATCAACCGCTTTGTCTGCCTCTGAACTCGAAGCATACGCTCTGGTCCGTTCAGGAAGTTGTACGGTACCTCCCTCTCTTCCTCCTCTGTCTCTCTGTGCAGGTAATTAACCATGTTAATACCGTTCCATCCAAAGACCTTCGGATAGCCATGCTCATCCTTTGGCCAGTTTGGATCCAATTGCTCCACTTGAGCAAGCTCAGCAGGGGTAAGCTTTCGATCGGCATTGGGTCTAGCCACGTTGTCTTTCGGATCTCCTTCGGATGCTTCTTCGGTCTCCTCCAACGTGTCGTCAACTGGAACGTCCCTTTCACTGGCCATACGGACCGGTTGGCGACGAAGTGGCAGCTGCTCGGGTGCGTTGGCGGGCACGGTGCTGCCGGATACAACGCCCAATCCTTGAGCGACAGTGTCGTCAGGGTTGTTCTTGCCGCCTTCCATGGGTTTTGCGAGCTCAAGAGGAGATGCCACGCCATGCTGTAGCCTCGAAGCTGGCTTCTTAAGAGTGCGCCGGGTGTTGGCTGTGCGCGTGTCTCCAGCAGTCTGTCTCGGATGCTTACGAGCACCAAGACCCTGAGCATTGTCGTTAGCAAGAGCCATGATCTTGTCGCACTCGGTCTCACTTACTTGTGTCGCAGTCTGCATGCCGCCAGTCGCAACTCCATCCTTGATCCGCAACTTCAACTTCACGATCAACGATGTCTTCGGTCGGTCGGTACGTGCCCGCTTGGTGTCAGATGGACTCACTGTGGCAGGACGCTTGCGCTTGCCCCCGCCGTCGACGGGACTAGAGACCGCCTCCGCTGTCGGATCGACCAATGGTACTGCCTCCGCCGCATCCTCATCTCCCGCCATACGCACATCTCCGTCTTGATCTCGATCCGCTGCTTCGCCGTCGATCGGGGTAGCTTCATCTTCTTGAGCGCTGGCCTTGGTCTTCACAGGCCTCACCGTGGTCGTCTCTTTCTTTCGTTCTAATTCAGACCTTGCTGCTGCGTTTGCGCTACGCTTCTTCTCTTGCTCTGCCTTCTTTTCCTCTTCCTCCAGCTTCTTATTTAGCTTCGCGATCTCCTTCTGCCTATTCACCTCTTCTTTCAACTTAGCCTTCTGTGCGTCGGTCACTTTGTCCTCGATATCAGGGTCGCTCAGAGACAGCGGATAGTTTCTGTTATCAAAGTCCAGAAAGATCCCCACAAGTGCATCCTTCGATACAGCGTTGAAATTTGTAAGTGTGCTGTCGGCTTCCTTGAGCGTCGGTCGAAGGGCTGGCTTATTGCCCGAACTGACGTTCACCGGCCAATTCTCGTAGTCGTCTGACATCGTGTGCAGTATCGCGCGCTGCCGGCTGTCTTTCTGTAGGCGCTGTCTTGATGCGTTGGGGTCGTGCGATCGGAGCGAGATGGGCTGCGGAGGTGTGCGCCAAGGATCGTGACTGGGGTCGCGTCGTATGCGGAACGGCACGCGAGTCGCGCCAATGATACGCTTGCGATGGAAGTTGCCGAGCCTGTATCCCAGGGTGAGTGACCATGCTGCGAGCAAACCCTGGAGGTGAAGCGTCCCTCACGTGCGACGTCCCGCTCTGGCCCTACACAGCGCAACCCTAACCGGATTGGGGGTACGTCATCAATCAATTTTCGACAACAGTATGTTCGACAACAGTGTGAGCCACGAAAGCTTCTGCTCTGTATAAGCTTCCAAACGAGCAGCAGCGTCGTGGAACACTGCGGCAGTCAGATACAACAGGACTTGAGCTTTACTCGGCTCTTGGCGTAGTCCATGTCTCGAACTGATTGCTCAGACTCTGAGGATTGCGATGTCTCTTATTTAATAAGAAGTACCTTTTGCGTATATAGTAGTTATGTATTTTAGGAGTTATAAGTAGCTTATCTTCCTCTGCGTTATTGCAGTACTATAGATAGAATAGAAGAGAACTAGAATATTAAGTCGCACACCGCAGTAAGTCAACAGTCGAGGGATATATAAGTTGCTTTCGCGACTCACACCAAACTGATTGCTTAAAGCAAAGCGCGCGCTATGAAGAAGCACAACGTGCTGAAATTGTGAGAACTATACTAAGTTTGGTCTATTCTAGCAGACTGCGAAATCGAGCGCGAGAAGAGCATCGCATGCATCTCCATGCCATGCATCGGCTGTCACCCCAGTCAAAGCTTGCACCTACACGCCCACGCTCCTTCTTGTCGTCCTTTTCGCCAAATATCGAAGAGATAAGCGAAGGGTTCTACTTCTTGCTCTTACGTTTTGGCTGCGTCTTCTTCTTTTTCTTAGATTTAGATGTCTTCTTAGCTTTCCCCTTCCCGGTTGACGCGGGAGAGTTCTCTTCGGATACGTCAGTATCTACTTGTTCGCCATTCTTATTCTGCTCATCGAGTTCCTTTTTATATTCAGTCGACCAACCTTCACCCAGTTCAGTAATCCTTTTCTCAAGACGATATGCGACACTCCGATCCTTCAGGATATAGTGATGAATAGTACCAGGTTGTTTCGGGTTGTCGTCATAATCATTAGCACGCTTGTGGAGCTCCGTAACATACTGAGCACTCTGAGCTTGCCCTCGATACTTCAAAGCTGTACGGACTTGTGGGCGATTGTATTGCGTGTAATTATGTTTTTTCGCTTTCTTTCCTGGCGATTGAGGTCGAGGTTCGGACCCGGTTGGCGGCTCACCAGCAGGGTTGGTTGGTGCTACTGGATCACTGGTGTCTTTCTTATTCCCCTTGTCACCATCGCCGTCATCATTACTACTATCATTCCCACCATCATCACCGCCACCGCCACCGCCACTACCATTGCCTCGGGGACAACCTGCCAAACCACTGCATTCGCGGTAACTTATTGCAAACAAGTCGTTTTCGTCGTCGCTAGAATCGCTGTCACCATCTGGTATCTCCTCCTCGGTCGGTGGGTCGTAAAGCTCATTCGGTGCATCTCGCTCGTCGGAAGTCTTCCAGTCGTTCCATGTCTCGCCCGCTGAAATGAACAGACCACTCTCCAGTCGCGTCCTGCTAAGATCATTCGCTGTTGATAACGCGTCATTAACATGACTATCTGTCGGTAGTCCTTCCAAAAGCCCAGTCTCTCGTGCTCGACGTTCTGAGTGTGACTCGTCCATCTTGTCGTCCTTATTTTCATCCTCTACTTCCCTCCTTCTCTTCTCGATAGCTTCGACATCAAGTTTCAGGTTGATCGGCGGATCGATTGGCGGAAATCGCGGTCTACCTAATCCCACAGCTTGACTCTTTGCCCTTGGTATCCTGACGTGTAGATGATGTGGGCCCATGTTGTCGTAATCGAGTGTCTCCGTTTGACCGACTTTATCATCTTCAAGCGATTTGAGGATTGGACGTAGAAATTTATCGTAAGCATCGTCTCCTGTGAGTAGCCCAGGCGGCTGCCCGTCCCGTATGGACTGCTGTATTCGGTCTTTCACCTTATCAATGTCCTCGAGATACTGAGAACGAAATTCAGGCGTCTGATAATATAGAAAATCTTCATACAAGGCAGTCGCATGTTTTCGTGCGGCATGGGCCTCCCGGCGTACAACACGGTCGAATTTCTCTTGCCCGCCTACCGCCTTGTTGGCCGCACGAACGAGAGCTATCCGATTGCTGGCATTGATATCTTGCGCTCGAGCTCGGTTTGTGAGGTGCTCCTCGAATCTGGGTATCTCGGCTTCTTTCTTCGTCTCTTTCAGATTTTGCGAGAGTTCTTCTCTCTGTGCTTCCAAGTCCTGGTATACACGCTGGGACTCATTGGCACTATCATTAGATCTAGGACCGTTGCTCCGCGTCGCTCTCCTAGTATTGGGGGTCGTATCACCGCTCTGCAACAGTGGTGCTGGTGTTCTCTTCGCTCTTAGATTCGGTCTATTTGAAGTTGTGTCGCCTTGGTCGTGTGGTGGCTCTTCCGCGCTGCTCGCGACATCAGGATCAACTTCTGCACCTTTGGGTGACATCGTCAATCAAGAAGAGGGGTAGAGCTCTGGCAGGGACATACGATAGAAAATAGAGCAACTGAGAGACTTCAGAAGCTTTCAGTAAGATAGCGTGACGAAGCTGTAGTTATTTAGATGAACGAGGCTGATATTTCATGCTAAGTTCTTTGTTTTGAGCGCTTTTGTAGAGTACAAAAGGGATATGTCGTATTCATCATCCCTGCGCCGCCGTTCCTGAACAAAGGATTTGGAGACTCTGCGACACGACACAAAGCATCCTGACGTGAAGTATTCGCTTGCTATCGCCCGACACTAGTGTGCCCATAAATCCATCCCAACATCATGCCCTACCATTCTTCGTAAATGTCCTCTTCAAAATCGTTCCTTGATGGCGACGCTCCGCCACCCATCCAGAGATCTAGGTCCTTCCCTTCTTCTTTTGCCTGATTCATGAGACGCTCGTGCAGACGCCATGAGCCCAGCTGATCAGTAGGTGCAGGTTTGACACCAGGTCGGATGTGTCCGTCCAGGGGAGCTCGAACTGTCTTGTGCACGACACGAAACTGCTTTGCGAGGATAGGGTCTGAGTAGTGACCTAGTGAGCGCGCTTCGTGCAGCTTCTTTTCCTCCTCTTCATCTTTCAGACGCTGCTCCTCCTCAAGTTGTTTAGCAGTCTTTAGCGTGCCATCTTTGTTGAGCATCTCTTTCGTTGTGCCAGCCTTGCTGTTCTTCTTCTTGCCTTTCCCGCTCCTAGTCGCTTGCCGTTTAGTACGATGTCGCCCTGAAGCTGGCACTTGCACCTCTTCAACATGAGTCTCGAGCCTCTTGTCGTCTTCTTCGCGGTTGTGGGCCAATGCATCGTCCGTAATACCGCCTTTGTGTTCCCCAAACTCCCTCAGCGCCAGTGCAGCCATGCCCTTGTTTACTTCGAGGTCCGTCTCGGTAGCAAGCGGTTGAAGGTTTCGAGGCTTGCGGAGACGCGTTCGCGGCTGAGCCAGTGTTCGAGTTGGCGTGCCGCCCTCGACAGCAGCTTGTGGAAGGGAGTCGCCGTCATCTGGTTCGCCTCGGTCCTCCGTTGCGACGTTGTGGTCCCCTGGAGGAGCGTTGGCATCGTTCCGGGGCTTCTTGGATGCTGTGACTTTAGTTGGCACAGCCTTGCGCTTCTTCGACTCCGCTGGCTCGATATCGGCCTTCTTTCGTGTTGAGACGACCTGCTTAGGGATGGCGGATTTAGTGGCCTTGTCCGAGCGCGGTAGCAGAGCCGCCATGAGCGGGACGTTTTGTAGATCCCAGTCTGTCAGTAGTTCAACTAGTCTGCCTTTCTTTATTCCTTCTTGATGGAGGTTGTGCATGCCAGCTGCGTTAGCCATTGGCCGCAAGTGGTCGTTGATCGCGTATTTGGCGTAATCAATTGGCTTGAGGTCTTTAGCATCCGCTTTCGCTGTTGACGGGTCGTGCTGATCCAGAATCTGAATGGCGCGTTCAACGTCGTCTGGTAGGATCCTTGGAGGTACCACCATTTTATGCCGCTGAAGGACGACGTGGGCTCTCAGCGCAGAGGTCTGCTCAGTCGTCGCCCAAGGGGGGTGGTTCTTGCTGCTGGCTGGGGCCATGGCGTCTGTGAAGTTTTGTTCAGCGCATGCAACGGGTGTCTTTGGATGCGGATGCGGCGCTCGGAGGTGCGTACAAGCGAAGTGTGAGCGCACAGCGTAGGGGGCGCTGTGCAGCGGTCGTGTTCGGACGCGTCGAGAAGATGTCGAGATTAAGATCAAGCGCAAGCAGCGGCATTAAACAGTGCCAAGCTGATGGGTGACCTCTACGCCGGTCTCGTCAACGGTTAGCTCCGATACATCTCCAGAACCGTGCGGTAGTTCGGTGTGCTGACATAAACAAGGAAGGGGTGTCCACCACGTCCTACTCGCATAGAGCATGACCTACCAGAGCATTCGTTCACCATCGTCCCAGCCGCGCCCCTCCCGAATCACTCAACTTCACAGCCATTGCACCTTGGACTGCCCATTACTCCGACCGCAAATCACACCACCAGCGCAACTGCTCCACCCCAACCACAATCACAACCTACACCATGGGCCAGACACCAACCACAAACCTAGACATGGATCCGCCATCGTCTCCACCCCATACCGGGATTCGCGCCTTTGCGGAAGACCTTGAAAGGGAGACCACTGAGCGGGAAGAGTACACCGCGACCGGTAGCTCCGTTGACGCCTTCGACCAGACTGATAACACTGTCAGGAGTTCTAGACTCTCTTCGCGTCACGCTGACATTGCCCGCAACCATCCACTCCCGCGCGCTACAACCCACGTCCCCGAGTTCCGAGACCGCGATACCACCAAAACTGGTGGACAGGAGGAGGCAACAACGATCCGGAAGACGGACCAGCATGAGACGGCGGACGAAGATGAAGACTTGGAGGAATTGGAGGCACTGATGATCCCGGCGGAAATGAGGTCGTCCCCGCGGCAGCCGGAGGAGTCTCCCAATCCAGAATGGCAACCCATAGACAAGTCTTCGTGGGACCCTGCCGGTTTCCCGACCACGTCTGGATGGCAGTCCATCAACGACCCAGCGTTCGACGAGAACCCCAGCCATGATATCGACAAATCCTCGTGGGATCCCGCCGGTTACCAGACGAAGACGGGATGGCGGTCGATCAACAATCCAGACTTCGACGAAGACTTCAGCGAAGAGACACCCACAGACGAGCCCTCGGCAGCGCGCGAAGGCTACTTACCCGACGAAGGCGATGAAGACTCGGTGGCTGATTTCCCATCTGATCCTGCTGACGATGCGAAACCTTTGAGAGAGCCGGATGATACCGACGATGTACTGGACGAGAAGTACTTCAAGCACAACGGCTACTTGAACTACATCAACAACGTCGAGGACGGGGGTGAATCTGACTCTGCGACGGAGAACAAGAAGACAGGGGTTCAAACCAAACTCAAGACAACGAAGAAGAAGGAATTCAAAGTTGTCTTCGGCTCCTCGCCTGCCAAGTCCACGGGACCTGGAAAGTCTTTGCCATCGCCAAAGAAGTCTACCAAGGCATCCGCCCATCCGCCGGCCACGGGAGACACGGGTCGCGATAATCTCAAGGTCGACGCTAAAGCTGAGCGAAGCTCCAGCCCTGCTTCCTCTTCGGATGAAGCTAGCGGATGGGAGGTGGTAGACGGCAACATCGACGCCCCACGGACGGGCAACAAGTCGGTCCACAAGCTCACGATCAAGCTTCATAACAGCGTGACCGGTGAGTCCAAGACCATCACGTACACCGACGTCGAGCACGATGACATCGACTGGAAGTCCAAGCCCCAGATCGTCGCAATAACACAATGGCGTACCGACGTTTTCAAGCAACATGGAATCGGTACCAAGAAGGCTGCGTACCCGTACACACCATTGGAGGACGCCTGGATGACGCTCTTCCACAGAAAGCTGCGTGCAACCATCGATGCGGGCCACGTTATCAAGCTTCCCGGCCCAGTCAGCGTGATGGAAGCCTTCAACGCCTTTTTCGAGGGCAAGGTACTCAAAGACGCGAACGGTGCTGATGCACCTTCTAGACCACAGCGCGACGTGTCTTCCATCCGTGGAAAGCTTGATGGCAGGGTTAGCAAAGTTGCTACAGAGAGGAAGAGCATGAGAGGACTTCTAGAAGGGAAGACAGGTGGTGTTTTGTTTGTTCCAAATGTGACAGAGGACGAGCTGAGGCAGTTTCAGGTGGATGAGTCGGTTGCGGTTGACGACCCGACTGAGGTTGGTAAGAATGCGGCCTTGGATGTTGAGGGGAAGAAGAGCAGGCGACCGTCACCGAAGAGGAAGCGGGATGAGAACGATGCGGGGGACATGTTGGCGAAGAAGACGAAGCGAGTAGGCTGAGGTAATCAGGATTAGTATCGGATACGGAGATGTCTAAGCCGGTACCTCTGGCCCCAGTACGCATGTGGCCGACGGCCGACGGTGTTGCACGTCGAAGAAGAGGTCTCGTTGTACGTATGAGTCGCACATTGCAGTAGTCAAGCCGATATTCATTTGTCTCAAATTTGTCGATTCAATCGCAGTCGCGCTCAACCCGTCTTGTCTTCCCAGATTTTCAAGAACAGCTTCCACAAGATGGAGAACAGAATGCCCTGCAGACCGTTGGCGATGATTCTCGTCTTCAATCCGCGCCCAAATAGGCCCAATCTACCGTCTTGACGGATGACCTGCTTGGCAGCCTCTGTATAGGATATCCTTGTATCGTTGACCTGTCGATATGTCTTCACAACGCGTAACGAATTCGATATTGTGTCCGAAGCGACCGAAGCGCAGAAACCGATGAAAGCCGCCCGTAGTAACCACCATCCGATCTGTTGTCTTGATGGCTCTGTAATGGTTTCGGAAAGGAAGTTGTATACGGCGAACCAGGGGTAATGCCCAACGAAGGTCGCTGCTGCGGTTGCAAAAGCACCCCACCACAGGGAGCCGATGCCGTCGGTCCTAATGCGCTGCCGCAGTAGACCCCAACCACTAGAACCCTGTGCCTGTAAAGTAGTCTTCAATGTATCGATTGGTGTTAGTAGCATTCTGAAAGCTGCAGCGCACGCAGATGCAAAGATTGTCTGGATGGGCGATGGGAGCTGCTTCAAGAAGCCGTTGGACTGCAGCAAGGCCAGGATGCCAGCGTTGGCGGCTGTGTCTCCGAATCGAGCGATGGGCCCCTGGAAGAGCGCAGCACCCATGCCTTGGTAGTATCGACCTATACCACCGTCTGCATATAGAGTTTTGGTTGCGACAGTCGTTGATGTTCCGTGGCGATATTGGTAGTTCATGATTGTACGGATAGGCATCAACAGCAACACTTGCAGTATCATGGCCGCAGCACCACTCAGACCCCCACCTAATGCACGCTTCAGTGCGCCTTTGAGATCGAACTAGTTATGCTGTGAGCTTTTGGAGTTTGTATGTACCGCGACAGTGCAGAGGGACATACATCGACGTCATCGGCCTCTATCCAGCCTTTGATGAAGACAGCAACGACCAGTATCGCGAAGACGGCAAGGATGCCTCTCCAAACATAATACCAGGTCTTGGAAGCCGCCTTTTCCGGTTGGTCGATGATTTCGTCGCTTTCCGATGGCGTAGGCGTGGGCTGACGCGCGGCATCATGTGAGAGCAAGGGCGCGCGCTCATCTGGCACGCTACCGCCTTCTAAGTCGCGTTGAGAAGGCATCACTATAGGTGTGTGGTGTTGAAGTGCAACGATACACAGTATGTCGCCTTCGTTCGACGCGTGTTGAGATGGATTACCAATCAGTAGCGATGACGCTCACTCGGCTATACCTTCATGCCGAAAGATAAGGACCCACTTTGCGACCACGTGACACTCTGTCCTGCCGGGGCACCATCTAGCAAAGCTCAACAACAAGGCTACCATTGACCTCTCAGACACCGCACCGTTACTATTCCACATTCTCCGCTTCTCATTGTCATGCTGCACCTTTCTCACGAACGAGAACGACCTCACTTCAATCTCCATCATGAAGTGCTCAATGCGGCGAGCGGGTGTGACTTTTCCCACTAATCATTTCGCTATAAGGTTTCGATAACTCAACGACCTGCAATTTCTGCGATGTTGCGATTGCACGACATGGTTAGAACCATGAAAAGGTCCACGGCGCGATAGAAAGAGGCGCACTCACACGTCGACCAAAAGGTCACTACCAAGAGTTGTGTCGCCTCGTCGAAGTTAGCATGCTGTTACTACGATGCTTCGGGTCGACTTCACACGAGACGACCTCATCACAGCCCCCTATGAGTCTTGGCTCGTAAGGCGAGCAACCTTGATATTCCACACCGATCAGGCCTTACGACATTTTAGTCCTCCAGAGTCACAGAAGCTTGCCCCGCCTTGCCAATACAACAACGGATGACATCTGCCGTTTACCCATTCGAGTTCCACCCATCACGCCCGGATCCCACAGCCGTGACAGCCAGGCACAGCCGCAACTGCATCGCTTAGCGGGCCAATCACCATGAAATACATACGAGACCCGAGTTACTTAGTTACTTAGGCTCTGTTGTAAACAAGGCCACCAGCGCCAATCTGTTGTAAACCAACACAGCAGGTATCCCGCCACATTCCAGTCATTTGAGCAAAACGCCAACTCAGTGATATGATAGCCGCTATAACCGCTTTATGTAGAACGGGATCCGTTCAAGCCAAGATACTGCGCCCTGGGCTTGGCTAACCGGTGAGGATGCCCTACTATAATCCCACGATGCTTAAAGGGACGTGAAGACTTCGTGGGAAAACTTTTGTGTTGTGCATATCACAAATCAACTTCCACTGCACCTGAATCCACCACCACCACCACAATGGCATCCCTCCTCTCCACCATGCTCTTTGCAGCCACGGCATCAGCCCAAGTCACAACCTCCTTCTGGATGCCCTCCAACGGCCTCGGAACAGAAAACATCGGATTCGTCGGCTCCGTCATCAACGCCAACGAAACCCACACCACCCTCGCCGTCGAATACGACGAAGGAACCGATCTCGACGCTCTCAGCATCGGTGTCAATGGTCCCATGACCATGACCATAGGCCCCAAAGTCTACGGCACCACAGTCGACGTTGGCGTTGCCTCTTCTGGGGACGACGACGAGGACGACACCTACGCACTTGACTGCACGTGGCCGACCCCCGAAGAAGCAGAGTCGAACCGTACATGCACAGTATCTTATCCTCCGGGGCTCGCTAGTCTTCTCTGCCAGAACACCGCTTACATCTCGACAAGTGAAGAGATTTGGACGCGAACTCACACCTATCCTGCGCGCGGCTCTGAACCCGCAGGTACCGAGACTGTTAGGCAGACTTTCAGCTGGGGCTATGGCTCTGCTGTCTCGTCCGTCTCTCAGCCAGCTTACTGCAGTGAGAGTGGTACGCCTGACGAACCTTATGTTTCTGAGGTGGAGATCGCTGCGACGCAATTTGGGACTTACTACCTTGTTATCACTGCGGGGACGGAGAAGTTGGAGGCTACTGCTGCGGCTACACCGACGATGTCGAGTGCCATGTCTACGGGTGCTTCTACGGATGCGACAGATGCTTCTGGAACTGCGCCCGTGCCTGAGGTGACGGAGGCTAGTGCGCCGATGGTTAGGGGTGCGCCGCTGTTAGCTGGACTTGGTGCTGCTGCTGCTGCGTTCTTTGTCTAGTTCATTAGCTTGAGCAATGAGACAGGATGTAGATCAATATGACATGGAACACTCGTTTAGTAATTCTTCATACATGCAACCACTATCATACCTACCAAGTACCGCTCAGAGCACCCAACCATGCCACTATCCCGAAACCTTCGTACCAGAAGCACATGTATCAACCAATCAGCTCTACTAAAACCCGAAAGCATCCAACAAACTATTCGCATCCGGCTCATTAAACTGAGTCGGCGGCGGTTTCTTCTTCGGCTCCTCCTTGGGCTTTTCATCATTGTTCTTATCCTCTTCATCCTCTTCACCTTCTTCTTCACCGTCCTCTTCACCACTCTCCCTACTTTCTTCCAGCGTGCCCTTGCTTTCCGCGAGATCGTTATGAGCATGCTCTCGTACCGGTAAATCGGCGATAACAAGCGAACTCCTCCTGCGCAGTAGCTTTCTGGGATCAAAGTCAAAGTCCGTCGCAGACTGATTTCTGCCTTGCGATTGATAGCTTTGACGCGGCATCGAGGGACTCAGCGGTGGACGACCAGATGTTGCTTTTGTCGGTGGTGGTGGGAGTAGGAACTCCCATGTCTTGACTAGGTCGAGGGCGAGGACGTCGCAGCCCATGCGATCGTAAAGGCCTGCCGTGTGTAGCACAAAGTCCCACTCTTCGCGCATGCCTATCATTGTGGCTCCGCGCAATGTTTGGAGCGACTTCTCACGGAGTTGCTTGTACAGGACTACCAAGGCGGGGTCGTCGGTGAGGTACGATTTAGCGGCTGAACTGGGCGGTTCGGAGGTCTCGAGTAGAGTTGTTAGTGGTGTGACCAGCGAGCGAACGGCCATGTCCTTCTTGTTCAATAGCCAGTATGCCCATGTTGCGAGCCATCGATTGCCCTCTCTAGCAGCTTGGGGTAGGATTTTGTCTCTCAAGAAGTCCAGTAAGATGGGCGAGTCATCACCACCGTAGACGCGAGCGACTGCTATGGCGAGCTGGGTATCACCAAGCTGATTATGGAGAACGCTGACAGCGTCTTGTAGATGATCTGCAAGTAGAAAGAACGACGCAGCATACTCGAATCTTCTCCTGCCCATCAATGCGTACGCGTTCTTGAGAGCGGCGGTTTTCCAGCGGTCTTCGTTGAAGTTGTTCGATAATAGTCGATGTGTTGCGCCCTGTTCTCTCGACCAAGTAGCCATGCGCCAAAGACCGACTAGAACTGGCTTCTTCCGGAGGGCCATGTAGTATAGAGCGCAGTCGACGGGGTTCTTTTCGTCGGTCTTCGTGTACTCGTTCCGAGCAATGACCTCGAATTGGGCCCGCTGTATATTTCATTAGTTACTTCCGCCGACAAAGAGATGTGTACTTACCAATGCGTTGATATCGGACATCCACATGAACACTCCACACTCCTTTGCGTGCTGCCACATCATCTTCCCGCTGAAGTGTCTGCTGACAAGGTCGACAAGAATATCCTGACTTCCTGAGTGGAACGCCCAGATGATCTCGCGCCACGAGATGGGTCCCTTGTGCGTTTCGCTCAGTACATGTTGTCGAAAGAATAGCAAGAAGCGACCGGCGTTATCATCAATCGATCGACGATGCCTCTCTACCATACCAATACACTCGATGATGTCGGCCAAGCGAAACTGTTCGCGACTGGTCAAGAGCGGTATCCGCTTGGTGGTCAAGAGTTCCTTGAGACTGGAGGCGACTTCTTCGGTGACTGCTTCAGGCTCGCTATCGTCAGAGAAATCGGCGTATGATGAATGAATCTCTTTTCGAGATGCAGTCATTTGAGTCTGTAGAGGTTAGCTAAATCCAGATAGTGCTATTCATATACGTGCCTCAGCTTCTGAGAAATCTCCAGGTGCGAATCCCAGCGAGCTGTCAAGCTCTTCGCCTTCGATCCAAAACTTGAGTGTAGTGTAGAGCTTAATCAGGATGCGCTGCACCAGTAGCAACTTGCCAGCCAAGACGCATTGTGAAAGTAACTGAGGGTGGTACGCGGGTAGAGGACCGTTGAGTCTGCTAACTGCATCGAAGATGTCAATAGATGCCGTCTTCCGTGAGATGGTACGTAAGCTAGGGAATAGCCCTTCGGACACCTGGACATGCTCATCCTGAATGAAGAGCTGGTTGCCTGCGCCAATGATCAGATTACCACTGCTTAGCCACACCGAATCGCCGATCGGGTGTGGCGTGATGTCGCGAATGCGCACGTCACTGATCTGTACCCAAGATGGACCGGCATTGAGATAATCGTATCGCAGCTGGGCGTAGATGACGACACGATGGGGGAAGCCAACAGCAAGTATGGACTGATTGTCGGGAGTAGAAGACCAGTCGAGATCCTGGATGCTTCCGCTGCCTTCGAATGTCTCTTCATGTTCCAACTGGGCGCTTCGGGTGTTCCATATTGTGAGCGTAGTTCGATCAACATCGGCCAACGCAGCCTTACGTATCGACGTGCCACTAGCAAGTGATGGGTTCTTGACGCCAGTCTCGACTTCCGAAGTCAACAGCCAGTCCAGTCTTCGGTCTTCGACGTTGACGCGCGCAGTCCAGGACTTGATGATTCCGGATTTCGTGTATGAGATGGCTATGTCTCGCGCAAAGGTGTCAAGGAAGCCCGAGATGACGGGTGCTGTGCCAGCAGGATCTACAGGCAGTACAAAAGCAAGGTCGTCGCCAGATCCAAGGTTGAATGTGGAGAACTCCTTAAGCGTGATCTCTGAATGACCGTTGGTATAGCCATTGGTGTGCATGATGGCGGGTTGTTCCTCACCCACAGGTGCATCTCGCTCCGGTTTTGGCAGTGTGACCTCCCAGCAGATGCCTTTCATCTCGGAACTGATGGTGGCGATGTGTATGCGCTGTCCGCCAACTTCGACCTCTGGTATCACTAGCAGACACAAAGGTTTGCCCAGGAGTTTGTATGCGAGCCGTGTCATCTCAACGGCTTCATGACCACGGGTATCCCAAAGCGAGATCTCGTCATGATGTAGGAAGACAATGAAGTTACCCTCTTGCAAGAGAGCAGTACGATGGATATGCTCCGTCACTTTGACGCTGCAGTGTCGATGCAACGTCATGCCCTGATCGCTCTGCCGCTGTAGCCATACAATGCACTCATCTGTCGTGGTCCGCGATACCAATGCTCTTCCGCTAGCTGTGCGGTTGACTTTCTTGATGGCATGCGAGTGTCCCGTCCACATAGCCTTGCGCTGAATGCGCTGTGGCTGTGACGAAGGGTCGAACAGATAGTCGATGCGCGACTCTAGCCACTCGATGCGCCCGTCAAAGTGATGCGATAGCAGGGTCAACTCGGAGTCAGGTTTCTCATCGATGAACGCGTAGAACTGTACATTGTCTTCAATGGGCTTTGGTTCCTTTGCGAAGTGTAGATGAAGTCCATCGACATGCGCAATGTTGAAGACGTCGGTGACCTTCTTCTGTTTTGCCCCCACGTTCTCAAAACCCCACGCAGACATGTTGCCTCTATCATCCAACACAACACATATCTCCGGGTTGCGATTCGCGACTTCTATTAGGTGATGCAGCGCGATGCCGTGGTCTTTCTCTTCTGGCGAAGCCTGTTGCATCGCTCTTTCCGTCGCATGTGTAAAGTGCTTGCCGTCGATGAAGAAGGCATATCGCTTCTTCGACTGCTGCTCCAGCGGCACATGCCGTGACATTATCGACTCGACGAGGTCCACCTCAGCCCACATGTGCATGCCGTCTACGCCATGATGCTCGCCCGGTACCCAGACTCGCACCTTCTGGTCCGCGCATATTGTGTATAGTACGTTGTCCGTGGACTGGTCTTTGTGGTACGGGTGCCGCCAATGCAAGCCTGTGATGGCCTTGGGGTGTGGGAGGTAGAAGTAGTCGAAGCTCTGATCCGCCGAACCGAAGGATGTGCGTCGCCATATTTTGAGGAGCCGGTCGTACCTGCCTGTCGAAGCTATCAACTCGGCATCGGGCGAGAAGTGGGCGAACTTGACAGGGTTCGCTAGCTGCTTTGTCCATATTCGTTCGATGTCGCTGTGGGTGTTGAAGAGGGTGAGGGATGCGCTGCCGACGAGCAATTCGTCTGGCATGCCCCATGAAAGGGTCATTATCGTGTCATCGGCGTCAGACAGGGACGTGCTGCCCTGTTGCGACCACTGCGCATATCAGCAGTCATTCCTAGCTGCCCCTCCTTGTGTGCCCACCTTGATTGCGCCTTCATCTTGCCCGTATGGCCGGTATATGTATATGTGTCGCGTCGAACATGCCGCGAGCTTGCCGGTGCCCTCGTCGATCGCGACTGCCTCAAGCTCGAATTCTTCGTCGATGTAGATGGTTTGGAGGACGTGGTTGGGTCGATCGAGGATGATCAGCGCGTTACCGGAGATGTAAACCTATATGGACAGCGAGTCAGCCTTTGTGCGCGCCGCAAAGGGTGTAGTCATACGATTATCTGGAGGCCTTCCCACAGGCCATGAGCGACAGCTTGGAGCTTAGCCTGGGGTCGCCCAGGGAGGATACCGCGCATAGAAGTTATCGAGCTCGGCTACCGTTGATTGCGCATTATTAGGCAGTCGCTGGATGTCAAGTAGCGTCCAGTTGACAGTAGTACGTGTAGGGTTCTAGTAAGCTTCCGGTGTCGCGCGGTGCGAGATGCGACACCTAGGGTTCCTGGAATGTTGAAGCTCACGCGCACGATCCACGTGCTATGTCGTCACCTCGCCCATCGGCAATCTTGGAGAAGAAATGCGGCACAGCTATTACTATAAGCGACATGAACTGGTGGGCAAGGCTCCGATTCGCCGTGTCGTAGCAAATGGGGTGTTATCTGATGTCAAGATGCATTGTCGACGCTTGGGGGTTGCTGCCAGCCTTCCGCGCGCATTTCGGAATCGGAACACTAGCGCGAAATCAGAGATGCCGGTCCGGCATCGATTGATGTGTCGCGTTAAGCTACATACACGCGTTTTGGTGGTATCTGGTGTCTACAACTGTGCTTCTC